TCACTTGGTAGCCCAGGCTGGCCTCGAACTCACAGAGATCCGCCTGGCTCTGCCTCCCGAGTGCTGGGATTAAAGGCGTGCGCCACCACCGCCCGGCCTATTTCAGCTTCTTGTCATCCACTGGTGTATAGAATTTTTTACCTGCCTTCCCTAATAACCTTTAAGTCCGTGAGGACAGAAATCTCATTTTTTGTATCCATTGTACTCCCAGTGTCTAGTGTTAGAAGTAGCATGTAAGTTCTCGATACATCTGTCCCATGGGTGAATAATAGGAGTTGCAACAGTGACCTCTTATCCTTTGGAACATTAGGTAATTTTCCTCTGGCTACCGTAATTACTGATCCTGCTCACCATGCCTCCCCCAGTGCCAAAACAATGTCAGCCTGAAAGGAAGTGCTCTGGGGCTGTCATTCAGTGGCTTTTATAGGCAAGCTCTGTTCTGGAATGTTCTCCTTCCCCAAGTCTACCCTCCTTGATGTCCTGTTGCTTACCCTTTGGCTACTCTTCCCACTCCTTTAGTCTCCTGTGGCAGCCCAGCTGTCATGTTCTGTCCTTATGATCATCTATTGAGGACAAAGGAGACCACAGGTTCCAGGTTCCTGTCTTTTTGTTGTTGTTTATATTTTTTGAGACAAGGTCTCTCTATGTAGTCCTGGCTGTCCTGGAGTTCAAGACGTAGACCAAGCTGGCCTCGAACTCACAGAGATCTTCCTGCCTCTGCCATCAGAGTGTTGGGATTAAAGGCGTGCGCCACCACACTCGGGTTTCTGTCTTTTTAACAACAGAATGAATAGACAGTGTAGAGACTGCACAGGAATCAGCTTCCAGGCCCCACAAGCAGCCAGAAGCCGAACTCTGAATTCTATAACCTTAGCAAACAAAAAATAGCCCTCTTCCTATGACGAGTGTTCCAGCAGTTAAAAACGAAGCTGTTGGAACAGAGTTTTGTAGTTTTGTGTGGAAAGTCACAATTTAAAAGAGGCGGGGGGGGGGGGGGGGACACGCGCGGCACGTGGCTGGAGAGATGGCTCAGAGGTTAAGAGCACTGACTGCTCTTCCAGAGGATCTGAGTTCAATTCCCAGCAACCACATAGAGGCTCACAACCATCTGTAATGAGGTCCAATGCCCTCTTCTGGCCTGCAGGCATACATGCAGACAGAACACTGTATACATAATTAATAAATAAATAAAAAGATAAATCTTAAACAAACAAAACCCTCAAGCCTGGCACAGTAGTACACACCTTCAATCCCAGGACTTAGGAGGCAGAGGCAAGTGAGTTGGAGGCTAGCCAGGTTACATAATAATTTAACAAATGGAAAAGATAGCCTGGAGTTCCTCAGATCCCTTCTTAAAAGTTAACAGGATGTTGAGGGTCTCAGTGACAGCACACTGCCTAGTATGCATGAGGTCCTGGGTCTGATCGCCAGAACAGCCAAAAGAAAGCGAAAGAGATGGAGATGGCGACTTAGTGACTTTCTTGGGTTGACTCTTTCAGGGAGGGACATTGCTTGGGCCTCCAGACACTGTGGTTGATGTGGGGAACACAGAAGTCACAGAAGAAATCTTTCTGGAATACCTGTCCTCCCTGGGGGAATCTCTGTTCCGGTGAGTAAGGACAGGGTGGTGGCTCCTTGTGTGCGCCACTGCTGACACTCACACTCGGGGGCGGAGCCAGGGCAGCCGTCCCTGACACTGAGCTCTGGCCTCGTCGCAGTTACTGGGCTACAGAAAGAACCCCCCTCTCCTTGGTCTCTTCAACAGCAGACATACATCCCAGCGGGCTTAAGAGGCTTTAGTCAGGCTGATCGTGTAGCTCAGTTGGTAGAGTGCTTTCCCATCATTCACAAAGCCTTGGGTTCGAGCCCCTGCACCACAGAAACCTAAACTGGTGTGTTGGCACATGCTCAGGAAGTAGTGCAGGAACCTCCGGAGTTTGAGGTCATCCTTAGCTGCATACGGAGTGAAAGGCCACCTGAGCAGGAGATTGTCTCGAAAGAAAAAGGAAAACTTAGCCAGGCTGTGGTGACGCACACCTTCTCTCTGAGTTCGAGGCCAGCCTGGTCTACAGTGCGAGATCCAGGACAGCCAGGGCTACACAGAGAAAGCCTGTCTCGGAGGAAAACAAAACCACTGAGTCAGAGCCTGGTGAGAGGGCTCATCAGGTAGGTGTTTGCCGTAGGGCCTGACAGCCCACGCCGTGGGAGGAGAGAACCTGCTCTCACTCATTGTCCCCTGACTTTCCTCGTATTCCTACACACATACACAGAAAATAATGTAAAAAAATACAGAGGGGGCTGGAGAGATGGCTCAGTGGTTAAGAGCACTGGCTGCTCTTCCAAAGGTCCTGAGTTCAATTCCCAGCAACCACATGGTGGCTCACAACCATCTGTAATGAGATCTGGCGCCCTCTTCTGACCTGCAAGCATACATGTAGGCAGAACACTGTGTACATAATAAATAAATAAATAAGTCATGATTTGAAATAAAAATTAGAAAAGCTTTAAAAAAAAAAAAAATACAGAGGAGGGGCTAGAGCCATGGCTCCCAACCTGTGGGTTTCGATCCCTTTGGGTGTCTCATATCAGATATTTACATTAAGATTTATAACAAAAGCAAAATTACAGTTATGAAGTAGCAACGAAATAATTTAATGGTTGGGGGTTATCATGAAATGAGGGACTGTATTAAAGGGTCACAGCATTAGGAAGGTTGACAACTACTGGCTTAGAGGATAAAAACACTTGTTGAGCATATCTTAGAGGATAAGGCCTGAGTTCAGTTCCCAGTACCCACATGGAGGCACACAATGAACTGTAACTCCGGTAACGGTCTCTGACCCCCTCTTCTAGCCTTCACAGGAAGTAGGCACACATGGTACACATTCATTCATACAAACACTCATACACATAAAAATAGTAAGTCTTTTTTAAAAAAATCTTTAGTCAGTTTCATTAAGGGTTCACCTCTGACCCTCATCCTGTTGTGAATGTAAAAATTCTGGAACTATCTAGAAAACATACATTCTTGGTTCATCTTTCCCTTGTAAATCACTTCTCGGAGGTTCAGATCTGCAGACAGCGGCCCTTCTGGAATGTTTGAGAGGACTGGCCATAGTCCTCACGTGAGGCTTTGCCCCCCTCAGCTGCCGGCTGTCTCACCCGCCCCTGACCTCTCTTGCACCTGCAGAGGAGAAGCCTACAACCTCTTCGAACACAACTGTAACACCTTCAGCAATGAAGTGGCACAGTTCCTGACCGGGCGGAAGATCCCTTCCTACATCACTGACCTGCCCTCTGAAGTTCTCTCCACGTAAGTGTGACCACTCTGTTTCCGCCCCTGCCAACCTTGAAAATCCCCATTTGAGGCAGTCAAGAGGATCAGACCAGCCTCGGCTACATAGTGAGCTTCCTGATGGAGCCTGAGCTGTGTGAGGCCATGTCTCAGGAAGGAGAGGCACAGGAAAACTTAGGGCCCCTCCCCTACGGCAGCAGATCCTTCTGGCTAGTAGGACCTGTTTGATGGCAGGTTCCACCTAGAAGGCCACCATTGTTCCACCCACCAGTGTGCACTAAACCTCCTTGGAGCTGGGCTTAAGTGCCACCACGGAACTTAGAAACCCACTTGACACTAGCTTAGATGTTTACAGAAAATGCTAGCGCCTGGTACACAAAGTCATTTCCCAGAAATGCTTATCTAAGTAGATGGCAGAATCTGGAACAACAGGATGACCCAGTTCCTAACTGTTGTTTGTCTTTGTCATCCACACCCTGAGCTCTGTAACACCCTCCAAAGACCAAGTTCTGCTTGTGCTTGAACTTACAGTGCACAGACAGCCCTCAGCAGAGGTTCCCTCTGCCCCTGATGGGGTCCCAGCCTTGAGAAGGGCCTGTGGGCTGTCACCCGGCTATCACCTCCTAAAAGGGCACAAACCCCCAAAGCCATATCCTAATCACTCCCTTTTGTGATTGTACCAAGCTGCCTCTGCCCACTCTAGGACAGTGCCCGTTTGTTGCCTCTGACTCAGTTTCTCTTGAATTGGGGTCCTGACCAACAGGGGTCCCGGCAAATAAACTCAGTTTGAAAAACAAAACAAACGAACAAAGCCCTAGAAAACAAGGCTGCCAGTCTCCCAGGCCTGGGACTGCCTTCTCCTGATGGATGTGTGGGACCCAGCCTCCCTGCCAAGAGATCTGGGTCCTGAGACCCTGAGCACTCCTGAGCAGCCAAATATTTTTGCTATTACTACTTAATGGGTAGAGTCCTAGAGCTTGTCTGGATTAGGGTTGATATTTAACACTTGGATCAGTTTACAAGTACTTTATTCCCTTGATCTTAGGGGTGATTTTCAAATATGGCCGTATCATCTAGGCACAGTGGTACGCACTTAGAATCCTAGCACTTGTGAGCCTGAGGCAAGAGGATCACAATGAATTTGAGACCAGCTTGAGCTACATAGGCCAGGCTGAGTTACATACTCAGTGGCTGGGGGGGTGGGGCAGCAACCTCTGAGGATAAAGCTCGTGCCCAGAGTGTGTCATGAGCCGCTTTATTTTATTTTTCGAGACAGGGTCTCACTGTGTAGTCCTGACTACCTACAACTGACTGCATAGACTGTACTAGCCTCAGATGCACAGAGATCCATATGCCCCTGCATTCTGAGTATTTTATTTCCAGGTACAGAGATCCTGAAAAGTCTCCAGACTCCATTTTTACAGTGGTTTTCTAGCTAAGTTATTCTAGGAACAACAAAGAGGATACATCAAGTACAGAAATCTCTAGTTCTCTGTGGGTAGTGTTCACCCACAGCTCAGCAGGCCTGGCAGGTGTCAGTAATAAGATAGCAGCACCCACACAGAGGAGGGAGCTGAGAGTAAAACCCTAGAACAAATCCCAGCGTTCGGGAGGCAGGTGGATCTCTGTGAGTTCAAGACCAGCCAGGACTACACAGAGAAACTCCATCTTGAAAAACCCAGAACAACAACAACAACAAAAAAAAAAAAAACATAAAACAAGCTATTTAGAAGATTATTGGTCAGCTTTCTGCTCCTGGAGCAGATACCTGAGATAATCAGTTTATAAAGAGACACGCTGCACCGTTAGAGGTTTTGATTCATAGTCACCTGACACCGTTACCTTTGAGCCTGAGATAAAGAAGCTCCTCGTGGTAGAGCAGGAGCTGCTTGCTTGTGGCCAAGGCGCAGAGAGGAGGAGAGGGGACTAAGGCTCCACTTTGTCCTTCAAGGGCATGTCCCCAGTGACCAGAGGACCTCCCAATGGGCCCCACCTCTCAAATGCTTCCCAGGCAGAGAACCCGTGGGCCTTGGGGACCACTTACCAAGCCCCCTTACGAAGACCGGTGTGGCAGGAGATGCTGAGTAACAAGACCCACAACTGGCCGAGTAGGAGATTGGAGAATCCTCAGCCCTAAGTGGAACCTATATACTGCACCCCCTCCTCACTTTGACCCCAGCACTCAGGAGGCAGAGGCAGGCAGATCTCTGTGAGTTCTAGGCCAGCCTGGTCTACAGGGTGAGTCCCAGGCCAGCCAAGACTGTGTAGAACAGCAGTTCTCAACTTATGGATCTCAACCTCTTTGGGGGTTCCATATCAGATATACTGTTTGTCAGATATTTACATTACAATTCATATCAGTAGCAAAATTGCAGTTGTAAAGTAAGAATGAAGTAATTTTATGGTTGAGGGTCACCACACCATGAACTGTATGTAGTAAAGGGTCGCAGTATTAAAGATTGAAAATCACTCTCGCCGGGTGGTGAGGACGCACGGCTTTAATCCCAGCACTCGGGAGGCAGAGGCAGGCGGATCTCTGAGTTTGAGGCCAGCCTGGGCTACAGAGTGAGAACTAGGACAGGCACCAAAACGACATAGAGAAACCCTGTCTCGAAAAACCAAAAAAAAAAAAAAAAAAGAAAAAAGAAAGAAAGGAAATCACTACGTTGCAGAGAGACATGTCTCAAAAGAAAGAAAAGGAAGGCAGCGTGTGGCGGTGCTGCCATGCCCACCATCGGGGGCATCGTTCTGTCTGTGTTTAGGCTGCCCTGCAAAGCTCTCCCTGCGCATGTCTCTTTCTCCACAGGCCCTTTGGACAAGCGCTTCGACCCTTCCTGGACTCCATCCAGATCCAGCCTCCTGGAGGGAACTCTGTGGGCAGACCCAGTGGCCAGAGCTAACAGGACTGCACGGGACTGCCTGCCCTCCAGGAATTTTCCTTTTTAAACAAAACAAACCCTACCAGATTTCTATTTTATAATTTTACATCAGAGCTAATGGGGACAGCTTTTTAAATTTCCCAGGGAAGGAGCTTGTCGGGCTGCACGTAGGACAGTGCTCCCGAGAAACAGAACAAATGCCATCCCCTCTAATAGTATTATACTAATTTATTAAGGCTGTCTTGTCTGTGAGTTCACTTCTGACGCTGTTGCCCGAGCGTCCTCTGCACTGGAGAAAGGGGGCGCTTGTTTAAACAGAAAGAAAGAGTCACAATCTGAGAGAATCCCGTCCTGGACCCTCTTTCCAGAGGATACCCACATTCCACCCAGGGGGCCACACCGCTGGGCCCTGGCTGAGGTTGTTTTGTTTTGTTTTGTTTCGTTTGTTTTTCGAGACAGGGTTTCTCTGTGTAGCCCTGGCTGTCCTGGAACTCACTCTGTAGACCAGGCTGGCCTTGAACTCACAGAGATCCGCCTGGCTCTGCCTCCCGAGTGCTGGGATTAAAGGCGAGCACCACTGAGTTTTATACTGTCCATTCCCTGGAGCAGTCACCCTCTAGCAGCAAGTGAACCAAAGGAGTTGGTGGACATGGGGCCGGCTGTAGGCTGACTGCCTCAACCTAAGTGAACTCTTGAGCCGCAAGTTTACCCCCTCACCCCGAACAAGGCCACAGGCTGGGGCTGGAGCAGCCAGAGCCTCAGGATCAAAGGACAGGGAAGACAGGATAAAGCCATTCCTCTTCCCCCTAGACTCAATGCCAGTCCTCTCTGCCTGCCCCCAAGCTGCTCTTCCTCAGCAATAACTTGACCTGTTACCATTCATGGAGGTCTAGGCTGCAGTGGCAGGGACCTGGGCCTTTTCTGCAAATAATGACATCAGTTTGTTTATAGTCAGTAGAGCCACCCACCCACCCACCCAAACCGGTGTGCATTGGTCAGCTAAGTGCTGAGGGAACCACAGTGTAGAGAGGATACCATAATGATGTAGATTCAAGGTGGCAAGACAATGTAAGAGTTGTCTACAGCAGGGACTTTCACATTACCCTAAAGTGTCTTCAACAGACATTATCTCCATCGTCGTCGTTCTGACCTTAAGAGGTGTGGCTGGGGTGAGTGGGCATTTTCCTAGTGATGTGCCACTACGATCCATCGCAGGAATCATCCAGAAGTCTATGATCTAGACTCTGGATTCTAGAAGGAACTTAAGGTTCCCTTTCTTGGTGTCAGCCTCCTACTAGCTAATTTGGGGACTGGATATGGAGAAGGGGACTCAGAGCAGGCACCTGAGACTCAGCTCCACATCTGTGGGACCCCCTGCCATGGCCTCCTACCACTTCTGAAACTTGAGCTCAATTGCTCCTTCTGGGGCAGCCTTTCCTCCCTGAAAAGCTGCTGCTGGCTGCCCTGCTGTCTTTGCCAGTAGCCATATCAGTTGGCATCATCGGGATCTCAGCCTCAGTGCCGGCCTGGTGCCTGACCAGGGCCAAGTCCAGCTGGGATGTCAGGTGGTGTTTGGAACTTGAAGATTGGAATCAAATGGGTCTCAAGTCTCAACGGTTTGCAAGTGTGCGTGACAATGACAGATTAGAGTGGACACCCGCAGGAATTGTTTGCTGTTGGTCTGTTGACAGAATGGGCCCCAGAAGGATGAATGTTCAAAGCTTGGCTTCTGGGTAGGTAGAGGTTGCTAAAAGCCGTCTTCGTCACCTTTAATTTGCCGGGCCCCAGCTGCTAGCATCTCTACCTAGAGCCCGCGCCTCTCTCCTGACAGGTGCTGGACTGATTTTCCCATGTGACCAGATTCGTCTGGGTTCCCTCCTCGCAGCAGTGACTCAAATACCATGATATTCTGAGAATTTCTGTCATTTGATGGCTTGAACAGCCTCCTGTCATGTCCAGCAGCCGTCCATGCCAGTGCCTGTGCCCATGGCTCACAGGGAGATGGGAGGACTGGACAGTTTCTCAGACCTCTGCAGGAAGGCAAGCTCTTCCTCCCTTTGCAAATCCTGTTACCACCAGAATCCCAGGCCAGGAACCCCACATCCCACTTCACATATCTCTGTCCCAGTATCTCAGGAGCATGCTCTTGAGGGCCAGCTGCTCCACCTGGGCATGTACAAGTGAGCTGGGCGGGAACTGAGTCGTGTTCGTGCCACATGACAGACACCCCGTGGAGGTCCATTGGCCAAGGGACAAGGGAAGTGGAGGCATGAGACCATTGTCCTCTCCTAGACAAAGTGAAGCGTGTTCCTTTGAGATTCCTTGGAGTCAAACTAATTATTATGTCTAATACAGAGGTGTTTGCTGGTTTTCATTGGTGTTTTTTCTAATGCAATAAACTCATTTATGCTGGTGTGATGTGGTGTTGAATCCTGACATGAAGCAACCCCAGGCTTCCCCATCTGATCCCCTGGGAGGTTAACCTTGCAGAGGCCAGGAGTGCTGCCTTTGCCTAGCTGGAAGGCTTGTGGATGAGCGTGGGTAGTAAAGAAAGGTATGTGGTCCTCACCATTGGTGTAGGAAGATGGGGGAAGGGCCCCAGAGAAGGCAATGGGCATGAGGCTACTTTAACCCAGCGTTAGCTCCATAGTGAGACAGTGTGCCTCCCCAAAAATTGTGTAAGAGAGAGAGAGAGAGAGTGTGTGTGTGTGTGTGTGTGTGTGTGTGTGTGTGTGTGCGTGTGTGTGTGCGTGCGCGCGCGCGTGCCCACGCGTCCCCAGATTGGCGTGCAACTGGTAATAGAGTAGCTTCAGATTCTAAGGTGTTCCTCCAGGACCTGACCATTAAGAGATGTAAGAATTGTCTCCCTAAGGGAGACCATACAATGTCTAGCCCCCTCCTTATAAGGTCCCAATGACAAACCAAAGTTCCCTCCTCCCAGAAGTTACTCTGGAAATTGAATGCGTTTATTAGGGTGCTCATAGCCATAGGTGGGGAGTTACAGAAAGAAGTGAGTAGCCCTAGGCAGCCACACTAGAAGGTCTGTACCCAGCATGCATGATGGCTTCTCCATCCCTGCATAGATGGAGTCTTTGAAGCCTACGTACTCTGACATCTCCTAGAGCCCCCAGGGCCATGTGCAGGTAGGGCAAAATTGCATACAACTAGCTGGGGAAGGTGAATATTCTACTGAGGGTCCAGTGGCCCCTCCTATGAGGCAATGTGCGCAGTCAAGTTTGGCTCCAAGAATAGTGCTACCTAACAAGGAGCATTTGGTTTCATGAATTAGCAAGTGTTCACTTCTGATTTCATCTATGGTCCTGAACAAGTGCTGTGGTTGGTGGCCAGCTTTCTAGAAGCTTCCCTTGTACTGCCAGGTATGCAGCCTGACTGGCTGCATGCAAAATCCAGCAGGCCAGGCCTGTGGTAATGCTTTCCCAACAACAGATCAGGGGTGGGGGCTGGTCCCATTATACAGGAGGAAACAGGGCAGAGAAATGTCCAGGTGGCAGGTTGGCAAGGCCATTTTTGAATCCAGGCCATTTTCTCATGTCATCACTGAGGTATGGAGTCTTTCCAGTGTGCTGGTTTCTACAAGGCAGAGTAGAGATGACTTTGCCTGACATACCGGCTTCGTAAGAACACGCTAGGTGGGAACCTTTGAGATCCCTACCCAGATAACAGCCTGGGCTACCCACCTTGGTAGGGTAGTGCCAAGCAGTAAGTAAAGATCACTCTACCCGATGCTTGGGTCACGTGGTCAGTAAATTTCAGGTTACTAAGACACTTCCGCAGCCATTGGCTGTGGGTTTCCTGAAATCAGTGACATGCAAAGGTCGGTTCTCTGCTGAGGTGTATAGCCATCTGACTTGCTTCTGGAGGAAAAAATGACAGAAAACATGTATAACCCCCCCCCCTTAGACTTTAAGACTTGAGGCCAGTCAATCTGGGGTAAATTCATTCAACCTTAGTGTCCCCCTCAAACTCCAGATCAGAGACCCTTCACCCCCTAGCCATCTCCCCGGGAGCCCCTGGAAGGCATTACTGGGCTCTGTACTTGGGGACAGCAGCCAGTAGGGAAGGTAAGGCTTTGTCCAGTCAGGAATCATACTCTGGAGAAAAGAGGCAAACACAGGTGACAGGAGACCCCAGGGGGTGATGCCAGGTGACAACAGTGTGTGGGGATGGAGGTTAGGAGGTCAGAGGAGGCTGCTCTAAGGACGAGGTATCTATCTACCTGAAACCCAGATGATGCAGAGCCGGGGTGGAGTTGGGCGTTCTCTCCAGGCAGCTGAACCAGCAAATGAGAATCCTGGAGGAGCTGAACAGAGGGAGGCCGCTGTGGCTGGACAGGAGTAAGCGGCAGTGTCGGGCCAGGGCCTTTCGGGTCATGGGAATCCGGAGGAGCAGCTCAGGAGCGGTACAGAGACTGGTGGGGGTGGCGGGGGGGTTTGGGTGAGGAAAGCTGTGCCCAGATCTGTAGAGAAGCACTAGCTGAGTACAGGGGCACGGAAGAGAGCCCCTATGAAACATCCAAAGACCAGCTATGGGGCCACGGGGCCGTTTATCCTGCCTTCGTGAGCTTCACTAAGCATTACTTTGGTTTAAGAGGTATGCTTTCATTCTCAAGTTATTTTTTTCCAAAACAAAATTTGTGCCAGGTGTGATAAAGCACATGCCTTACCCACAATCCCAACACTCTTGAATGTGTTGAAATCCCAACACAGGAAATTTGCCACTAATTTGGGACTAGCCCGGACTGTATAGTGAATTGCAGACCAGCCTGGGCTACAGAACAAGGCCCTATCTCAAAAAAAGAAAATTGTGATAGAATATAATAGCAATAATGCTCTGAAAAAAGTAAGCGTGCTGGGTAGTTTTTTGTCAACTTGACACAAGCTAAAGTCGTCGTAGAGGAGGGGACCTCAAATAGGAAAATGTCTCCATAAGATCAGGCTGTAGGCAAGCCTGTAGGGCATTTTCTAAATTAGTGGTTGATGGGGAAGTGCCATCCCTGGGCTGGTGGTCCTGGGTTATGTAAGAAAGCAGGCTGAGCAAGCCAGTAAGCAGCACCCCTTAATGGCCTCTGCATCAGCTCCTGCCTCCAGGTTCCTACCCTGCTTGAGTTCCTGCCCTGAATTCCTTCCATGACAGACTATGATGTGACGTGTAAGCCGAAAGAACCCTTTCCTCCCCAAATTGCTTTTGGTCTTGGTGTTTCATCACAGCAGTTGTAACCCTAAGACAGTGAACACAAAGACAAAGGAGGAAAGTCACCAGAACGTCCCTCATCCTAAGGAGTCGCTGCTCACCATTCTGTGAACAGCTTTGTGGGTTGGAAGATAGGCACACAGGATAGCTGTACATCCGGGGTTGAGAGGAGTGTGGCCAGAGTGGGTGATGATGTAGAAGGCGCCTGCCATGCTGGTTAGGAAGGAGAACATGAGACCCAAGCCTCCTCACACTCGGGCTTTAGCCTAGAAGAACCCAGCAGGGACCTGTCACAACAATGAATGGAACCCCTGCTGAGCCTGGGGACTTGTCCAGGCGGGCAATGCTGCCCTCTTCCCGGTGGAATGTTTATACTGCAGGAGAAATAGGAACACCAGGTGGCGCTATAGACCTGCAGGGTACTCCTGGCCTCAGCCAAACGCCAGGGTGTGCCAGGCTCCTGTGAGTCAGGCTGTCCTGACTTTCAAGAGCCCAGTGGATAACAGCCAAGCTCTTTGTCCCCATTTTAGCCAAGCCCAACTGAAGCCTGTCCCGGACACCAACCCCCACACCTTGATGGATACACTAGTCCCTATCTGTCACTCGGTGATTTTGCAACCTCCGATCCTTACACAGTTCCCATCTGCTCCAAGCTGGATCCCCTTCCTCACGCCTCACTAGCACTAAAGGCCAGCATCAATAAGGCCCCCCCCAAAGCTTTCCTCATCTCTCCCCACCTAATCTGACACCCCCTGCTGAGGGTGCATTTTTTCCCCTACACTTCCACCAGGCCATCTCCCATGGCATCAACTGAATAATAACAAGGACGAGGGTTGGATTAGGCAGGTCATTTAAACAGACAAACATCCTCTGGGGCCACTGAGACACTCATCATAGCGGCACTGCTACAAAGTTCTTGCTGATAACCGAGAGCAGAGTTCATCCCCAGAACCTACTGTAAAGGTGGAATGACACTGCTAATTCCACAAAGCTGTCCTCTGACCTCCACAAATGGGCCCTGTTACATGCACCCCCTTATAAACAACAATGGTAATAAACGTGCATACATGAATGTAAAAACAAAACCCCTCTGGGCTGGAATTCCTGTGGATTTAGACTGAGCCTCTGAGACCTTGGTCACAGTCTTCCCCCCTCTAGGCCTCGTGTTCACCTGTGGAAGCCAGGTCAGGTTGGTGTCTCTAAGATCCATCCACTCTAACAACTCTCCGGACCTGTCCTGTGCTGTGAGGAGAGCGGCTTATTCGCATGCTCCGTCCAGTCTCCAAGGCTGCTCTTTGGTCCATAGAGAACCCTGTTTTGTCCTCACTGGCGGAAGAAGTCCCGAAGGGACCATAGACAAGCACAGCAACAGCCTCCACTCCAGCAAACACCATCTGAGCATGCGTCCTTAGCCTTTGTTTCAATTCAGGGGACTGCCCATTGGGAGACAATGTAAACACCACGCACTGTGAAAGGAAAAATAAGCAATAGTCCCAGTCCCCTGATTCCCAGAAGGTCTTGCCAAGAACCTCTGTAAGCCCATGACTTCCCTGCCCACCCCCCCTTCCTAGGCTAGCACTGTCGACAGCTTCTAAAAAGAGAACTGACTCAAAAGAGCCACCTGTCCAAGGTCACCAGAGAGGAGGAATGGCCTCATGAACTGTCAAGTCTCAACAACCCCTTTGGGGTCGAAAAGTTCACCCTCCAAAGGTCACACTCCACATAAAGAAAAAGGAAACAATTGGTGGCCCCGTACATTATTTATTACTTAAAAAACATATTTTGGGGGCTAGAGAGATGGCTCAGTGGTTAAGAGCACTTGTTGCTTTTGCAGAGGACCCAGGATTAAGCATGGTGGCTCACAGCCACCTCCAGTTTCAGGGGATCCAAACCCTCTTCTGACTTCCACAGGCACTAGGCACGCACATGAAACACATACCTCCAATCAAGCAAAGCATTTATACATATAAAAAAATAAATATTTTTATCTTTGTGGGGTTTTTGAGACAGGGTCTCACTATGTAACCCCTGGCTGTCCTGGAACTTACTATGTGGACCAGGCTGGCTTTGAATTCATAGAGAGGTACCTGCCTCTGCCTCCCGAGTGCTGTAACCTATGGGATATGCCACTGTGCCCAGCTTCCGAATGCTTTGGATTTGGTAATGTGCTGCCTGCCTCCTCATAATGGCTGGCAGCCAGGAGAAAGCTGGGGATGTTAAAGAGCAGAAGTAAGTGGGGGAAATGTTCCAGGTAGGAGCCACACCACGCAAACCAACCATGGAAGGCACTTACCGTAGACACTCCATTTTTATCTTGACCCAGAAGAGCCCATCATCTTGCCAGGCTGAAGTTACGCGTCCTCTGGTGACAGTCCTGCCTTACTCTGGTTCTCAAAGTCATCCACTGGCCAGTCTTCCCCTCCCCCAGTCTCGTTCCTAGCTTCCCCAGGGCTCCCCCAGGGCCCATCTGAGCCCTTGTTGCCAGGGACAAACCTTCCTCTTAAAGGGACACACTGGAAGCCACAGGGACTGCCCGAACACGGATCTGTGCCTCAAGGCAAATCATTCCACTTCTGGGTTCCAGTGGCTTCATCCTTGAAGGACTATGGTGGGACTGCCATATGAAAAACATTTATAAAACTACCTTATTGTTGGCCATGGTGCTACACACCAATAATCCCATTGCCCCAGAGGCAAAAGCTGAAGGAGTGTAGGCCAGCAAAGAGTATGTAGCAAGATCCTGCCTAAAAATAAAAACAAGGGCCAGGCAGTGATGGCGCACGCCTTTAATCCCAGCACTTTGGAGGCAGAGGCAAGTGGATCTCAGTGAGTTTGAGGCCAGCCTGGTCTACAAAGCGAGTTCCAGGACAGCCAAGGCTACACGGAGAGACCCTGTACACATACACGGGACTGGAGAGATGGCTCAGTGATTAAGAGCACTGGATGCTCTTCCAGAGGACCTGGGTTCAGTTCTCAGCATTCACATGGAAGCTCACAACTGTCTGTAACTGTAGTCCCATAGGATCCAATGCTCTCTTCTGGTGTATAGATATACATGCAGACAAAATACCCATTTACACTAAATAAATAAATCTGCTGGGCAGTGGTGGCGCACACCTTTAGTCCCAGTGCTTGGGAGACAGAGGCAGGGAGATTTCTGAGTCCAAGGCCAGCCTGGTCTACAGGGCAAATTCTAAGATAGGCAGAGCAAGAAAGAAACCCTATCTCAAAATACACACACACACACACACACACACACACACACACACACACACAAAATAAATTTAAAAAAAAAAAAAAACACAAATAAAGTGAAAGCAGGTTGGCAAGCCAATTTCCTTTTGTTTAAAGGGCGCTCCAGAACCAAACTTAGCCAGCAAGTACTCCGGGCCACAGGTTCACTTGATTTCTATTGTAGGAGAGGGGGAGACTGTCTTTTCCTCATTGGCTGTGGTAACGACCCCACAGCCTTTCTTGATTGGCTAGTTTTAAAATAATCAGTGTAAAGGCAGGAAGGGCGAAGGGCTCTGTATCTAGGCCTTTAAGCACTGTAAATGCTTGTGGAGCAGGAGGAAGATCAAGAGAACAAAAGTTTTACCAGGTAGGTGTTGTATTTTAAAATGGCAGGAAGGAGTCACACCATACAACAGGGTCCCCTAGGAGGTTTATGGAGGGGAGGGAGAAGGGGCAGAGAAGGGGCCAGGGACCGGTCCCTGGGGATGAAGAAGATAAAGAGAAAGGTGATTGGAGGTGAGTAAGGCCTGCCTTTTATAAGGAAGAGTAGCTAATGCGCACAGGGGGTGCTCTTAGTGGCTGCAGCTGAGGTCTATCCTGTCAGGACCCTAAGGGCAGGCCAGCACAGATGCCTAAAATGCTAAGTTTTTTAAAAGGCTGGGTGGTGGTGGCAGGGTCGCACGCCTTTGATCCCAGCACTCCAGGGGCAGAGCCAAGCGGATGTCTGTGAGTTCAAAGCCAGCCTGGGCTACAGAGTGAAATCCAGGACAGGCCCACTACACAGAGAAACCTTGTCTCGAAAAACCAAAAAAAAAAAAAAAAAAAAAAGAATGGAGAGAGATGTAGAATGCTTGTTACCTTTTCTAGAAAAAATGAAACACTTCTTACACCGAGGAATTCTTCCTGGATGGAGCCAGCATCAGTTGGAGGGATTGGAGACTTAAATCTGGGCAGATCCTTTTAACCCCGGGGCAAGAATGAGACCATAAAACCACTACCACTTTCTTACTTTTTTTTGTTTGTTTGTTTTTAAGACAGGGTTTCTCTGTGTAGCCCTGGCTGTCCTGGAACTCACTCTGTAGACCAGGCTGGCCTCGAACTCACAGAGATCTGCCTGCCTCTGCCTCCCGAGTGTTGGAATTAAAGGTGCACGCCACCACCGCCCAGCTGCCTGGGCTTTTGAAAGTGAGGGCTTATGGCGGGAATCTCTTTGTCCCATTGGCGGACTTCTGCAAGCCCTGGCTTCTGGCTGGAGTGGGGGGGGGGCGGGGGGAGGGGTCTTTTTGTCCGAAAACCTCCAACCTAACACACACCTTTAATCCCAGCACTGAGGGAGGCAGAGGCCAGTGGATCTCTGAGTCTGAGACCAGCCTGGTCTACAGAGTGAGTTCCAGGACAGCCAGGGCTGTGACACAGAGAAACCCTGTCTCAGGAAAAACAAAAAAATAAAAAACTTAAAACATAACTTTAGCCCTCACATTCCCCAACCCCTTTTCCCCATAGGCACAAAGCAAATGAAAAGCCTTGAGCTCTGTGGTACCAGATCTAAGAGATGTCTGGACCCAGCAGGAAGTACAGTGGAGAGTTAGACCGTGCCTTCCATAGAGATGATTCTGAACACATGCTGGTTGCCTGTGGGTTGGAAATGTACTTCACTAGCTGAGCACGTGCGCTGAGGCCCTGTGGTAGTTACAGGATGGGACCACTGTCTTGTGCCCTGTATTGCTCCCAATATCTGTAATAGTGACTGACATGTTTGTTTAATAAAGAACTGCCGCGGAGCTTAGAAATAAAACTGAGTCTTCCATTTGCCAGACTCCATTCTGGGCTCTTCAGTCCAGCACATTACCTATCTTGTTATTAGATAGATAGATAGATAGATAGATAGATAGATAGATAGATAGATAGATAGATAGAGATAGTATATAGATATATGGGGGCGCAGAATCCTGGAACTCACTCTGTAGACCAGGCTGACCTTGAACTCACAGAGACCTACCTGCCTCTGCCCCCAAGTGCTGGGATTAAAGGCATGTGCCACCACATTCAACACCTTAAATATTTCTGAAGATAGCTGATCTAGCTACATTTCTACCCCATCCAGTCCCGTTTCTCTTTGTGAACGAGACATCTATAGGTCAGAAGTCCTGGCCAAAGTTGTTGGGTCTAAGACGTGCTGCCAGATGACCTCTACCTAAATAGTAATTCTGCTACCAGGGAAATTAGGGCCTCCTCTTTGGGTTTATTGATAAAAGAACAGGGCTAGAGAGATGGCCCAACATACAGCTCTTGTAGAAGACCCAAGTTCAGTTCCCAGCTCCAGCTCCAGAGGGTCTGAGGCCTCTGGTCTCCCTCGCATCTGCACTCACATATACCCACACACAGACGCATGTATACACATAATTTAAAGTCCTGCACTCACATATACCCACACACAGACGCATGTATACACATAATTTAAAGTCAGCCTTACGAAACTAAGCTAATAATGGACTCAGAGGGAACCTGAAGAACGGTTTTATTAGAGTTTAAAAGAAAAATAGCAGGGCAAGCAACCTGAAAATCCTGGCAGATGCCAGAAGAAAGACGGAGAAGAGAAAGCCATGCCTTTTGATTTAGGCATGAAGGTTAGTAATAGAGGTTGACGGAGCAGCTCCGTGACTGAAGCAGGGAGGCGGAGGTACGAAGGAAGAACAAGAGAGCCCAGAACATCAAGGGAAAATGCCCAGGCATTGGCAAGTATTCAAAAGAAGAGGAGGAAAGAAACGGCTTATGTTTTTGTAAGCTTGGACTCAGGAAAGTGGGCAGACCACAAAGTGGAGGATTTCTGGGAAGGAAAGTTCATTGTCTCATTAAGGGGATAAATTATTCCTCCCAGCTCTTTAGCATAGTTTTGGGTGAGTCAGGCTTCCTGAGGTGTGGTCCCTTGACCAAATAATTGACAGGCCTAGCTGGAACACTCTTTTTTTTTCTTTCAATCCCTTTGATAGGTGCTCTGGGGAGTGAGCAGGAAGTCAGGCAGGGGGTTGGGGCAAGGTAGTGCTTCTTACATCTCACGCAGTCATTCATCAGTCATCGATCGGCAGCTGGATCTTGCTGGGGTCAAAACAGTTGGATTCCATGATGGGGAGGCCACTGGCCTCACGGTGTTTCACGAGCATCTCAGCTTCCCGCTGGGCCCACTCGGCCATCTTGTAGTCGGGCGCATAAGCCACGAAGGTGGTGCCCAAGACCAGGGCGATGGAAAAACCAAAGAAGAAGACGGCTTGCATATTCCAGTCGTCCACCTCGGGGTCGTCGTCATAACCATGGTAGTATGGGTTCGTCGCGTAGAGGTTTTCGTCCTCGGGGTCTGGGTCCTCCATCCACTCCATGGTCGGCTCTCTCTTCTTCTTCTTCTTTTCCACCACAGCAGGCTGAGCGATCACAGCCCTAGAAGAGCTCGATTTCCAGCAAAGGTGGGTAGTCTGGCGCCCTCGAATCGCCGCCGAAAGGCTGCGAACGCAGGAACTTAACCGCCAGGCCGCCATGACAGCTGCAGAGGTGGGGGTGGGGTGGGGGGTGGCGAGGGGTGGGGGGGGTGGGCGGGTACCAATTAGGAAGTAGGATGGATGCCCTGTTTCTATGGCCGGAGGCAGAATCCATTCCTTGCAGAGGGGAGTTGGGGGTGGGGGAGATTGGGCTTGGGGGGAAACGGATGTGATGGAGAATAGCTTTCCCTCATTGATATCAACAGAGCCCTGGCATCCTCCAAGACTATGGTAGCCGTTCTAACTGCACATTAAATGACACACCTAATGCCCTGACCGTCACGATCGTCACGGCAGTAGCTGAAAAGAACTGTGAACCATGGCTAGGGGTAGTGTGCGAGGCTGACATCTGCAAGGCCCTGTTCCCTCCCTGGGAACAGCCTCCATCACCTGGGAGGCAGGACCCAAATTCCCAGCAAACCTCCACTCTCGGGGAAGACATCCGCACTACCACCGTTGGTCATTCTGGCCGTCCACCTCTTTTCTGTAGTCTCCTACCTTTTGGAGTTTACCTCTGACCTCTCTCTTTCTTAGTCAAGATGGAGTTTCCTTCCCTGCCCAGTTGAGGTCTGGTCATACTGGTTCCACAGTTCCGGGGGCGGGGGGGGGGGGGGGGGGGGGGGGGGGGGGGACGGGACGACGACTCAGTTTGGAGAAGAGGGGAGGGGTAATGAACACTAGAGACTCAGAATTCTGAAAGCAACACGATTTTTTCCCACAATCTTGCAGGGTCAGGCACCAGCTCAGACAAAGTGGTGGGCATGCCAATCAGGCTCCAAACAATTGTTCTTATAGTCCTAATCACCAGTCCCTCTCTCGCCCCCGTTGGCTCGCTACCTGGGGTGGTACGGTCTTCCACATTGTCTGGCAAAATGCCCACCCCCAAGTTCCCACATTTTATTTGTTAAGTTTACGCTTAGTTTTGGTTCTGAATTTCAAGGACACAGACCCTTCTGTCATACACATCCTGGACTCAAGAGCCATGCATGACTCATGGGCTCGGTCACATAGCAGAATGTCTATAACTCCACCCCACCCCAAGATAAATTCAAAGTGCCTAGGCAAGCAGGCATCAACTGCAGCAGGAGACTGGTGCCTCTTGCTTGCTTGTGATCTGGTAAACTTAAGTCCACTTGAGACAACTGTAAGGGTAAATGGACCACTTATATGATCTTACAGGACCCCAGGACCTATGTAAGAGCGAGTCATGCCCCTGTAACCCCGGGGCTGGTGGGCAGGGACACGTGTATCCCAGGAGCTCTGGAACCTGCCAGTCTAGTTGAAATAAAGAATTCCAGGTTCATCAAGAAGGGATGCCACCTCAAAACACTAAGGTGAAGGGGCTGTAGAGTTGGCTTCGTGGTTAAGAGCACTGGCTGCTCTTGCAGAGGACGTGGGTTCAATTCCCAGCACCCACATTGTAACTCACAACCATCTGATCCAGGGGATTCAATGCCCTCTTCTGGGGCACCAAGCCCACACGTGGTGCACAGACATACATGCAGGCAAAACACTCCTACACTTAAAATAAAATAAATATTAAATTTAAATAAAATAAGGTGGAGGAGACTATAGGGAGTTGCTATTGACCTCTGGTCTGTTTGTGTGCATACCCGTGCATACAACACCCACAGAATGGTAACGAAGCTCAAAGAGATAATTATAAGCCCACGATAATGGCAGCATCATTCTCAATGGCAGAAGAAAGTATCACAAGTGTCCATTGACTGATGATTATATATAAAAAAAATGGACTAATGTTGGGTGGTGGTGGCACATGCCTGTAATCCCAACAGTCAGGGAGCAGAGGCAGGCGGATCTCTGTGAACTTCAGGCCAGCCTTGTCCACAGAGCTAATTCCAAGACAGGCTTCAAAGCTACACAAAAAAACCCCGTCTTGAAAAACTAAAAAAAAGGACTACATTCCAAGACCCACAGTGGATGCCTCCACTAGCCCATAGAATCCAATCATAAGATAGAGTCTTTTTTTCCATGCATACATACATGTGCTGTATATTTTACAAAAATCAAGCCCAACAAGAAGTTAATAATAGGGCTGGAGAGATGGCTCAGAGGTTAAGAGCACTGACTGCTCTTCCAGAGGTCCTGAGTTCAATTCCCAGCAACCACATGGTGGCTCACAACCACCTGTAATGAGATCTGGTGCCCTCTTCTGGCCTGCAGTCACATATGCTATATACATAAATAAATAAATAAATCTTAAAAAAAAAGTTAATAATATAACAAAACACTAGAGTAAAAGTTCTTTGAATGTGGAATCCTTCTCTCATCTCTCACTGTACTGCACACAATACTACATGCAAGGCCACAGCATGATGCAAGGCCTAAGGATGAGCTGCACTGAGGGGAAGAATGTGGATGTTGCAACATAGCATTGGGACACCGTCACCTTCCTCCTTAAACACAAGGACTGTGATACCGCATAGTGTTAGGACAGCATCGCCTTCCTACTTAAACACAAGGACTGTGATACCACATAGTGTTAGGACAGCATCGCCTTCCTACTTAAACACAAGGACTGTGATACCACATAGTGTTAGGACAGCATTGCCTTCCTACTTAAACACAAGGACTGTGATACCACATAGTG